AACAATTAATTTCTTTTACTAGTTTTTCTGTACTCCTATAACACCGCCAGACAACACCCCCAGAGGAATGACGCCAATTTTGAATCACCCTGTATAGTGTGTCAAGTGTAACCTGTCTCTATAGCTCTTTCTCGTTTTACCGTATATTTTAAGCAGATAGAACGTTTTCAACTAGCCAAAATTAATTGATTTTTTAGTTCTATTCAGATACAAGTTGAAGCAGCGAAAAGTATTAAGTAATGCTGAACGCCAAAAACGATTTCGTGCTAAAAAATGAGCATTCAGTAATAGATCAACTCAAAGTAGCTTTCATCAACTGAACGTCAAAGATTATGCAAAGCAAATAAGAAATTACCACTAAAAAATACAGAAACTCAAGAAGAAGAAGAGTTTACACAAACCCAAGAAGAGCAATATGTACAACCTCTCGTTGAAGAATATTAAATGTTGCAAATAAAAAAATACTTTACATTCAAAAGGAAACTAAATTACATTTTACCTATTCCTGATCTATTTATAAATTATTAAACCAAGAATAATATTAAAATTATAAAATTTAATTATTATTGCCATCATGCGTTAAACAATTTTATAGTTTCTATAAATATATGAAGTCGTCATCAGATTTTAAAATTAATTCAAACTACAAACACCAATTTACAATTAAAATATGTTGTATAAAAATTATAATTTATAAAGTGTTAAAATATTCATTCGTTCTTGAAGAAAAACAAACTTTCCTTTCGGGAGAGCAAAATATTTGAAAATGTACTTCATAATTGCTAAACATTATATTCATTTAGGTCTTTGCTGTCTTGAAACCTTCAATTTGTTTGAATTTATTTCTACATTTGCGAGAATGGTATGTATGTATTGAGATAAGCGGAAATAGTTCTGTCAGTTTTTGTGTTGAATTGTTTTAGATTTAAAACGACTTAAACCATTTTTTGAACAACAATACGAACTTTATTTCAACAAAATTAAAGCAAAACAAATAAAAATTGAGAGACTTATATCAAAGCAATCTTTGGGGATGTGTGAATATGTGGCGAACGAAAGTTGGATCAAGAATTTGACAACAATAAGAATACCAACTATGATAATGTATATTTGATAACTTGGACCAAGGCTTTCCTTAAATAAATCTCAATATAAACCAATTGATAACATCATACCAAACGTCAAAAATGGACTCTTCTTACTAAACAACGAGCTAAAAATTAATGTTAGAAACAAAGGTTTTAAGACAGCAAAAGCCTAAA